TACTGGACTGTGAAATAGGGACCATCTTGTTTGACTGTGAAGTGAGGACCATCTTGTTGGATAAATGGAACAGAACCCAGGACTCTATTCAAAGCACCTCTCTCCAGGTATTATGAAGCTTGCAAGAATTATTTGCATTGTTAAGAAGTATGAACTCTGGTTTAGTTTTGCATAAGCCCTGCTTGTCAAGTAGCCTTGACCTACAAGCAAGAAGCTCTCAGGCAGAATTTGGAAGCTCTGTACCTCTGTCATGTAGGGCAAGAAGGACCCGTTCGTACAGACAGGCTCGGTAGAGATCTCCAGGAATGGGTTTGCCTGCCCAACAGTCAAGCTCCAGCTTCTCTGGATCAGGTGCATGAGGGTCAGGCTCAGCTAAAATGTAACGGTAACCGTCTTTGTTAAAAGGGTGTTCCAGTGGATAGCCATGTGGTGGAAGACGCTGAGCAGAGAACAGAGGGTCACTGGGGAATGGAAAAAAAGGCATTACACATCTATGAAAAAAGAACTTCAGACAACCAAATATGAGATGGGTGTGTGTGACATGGGTAATCAACAACAAATGTTTGTTCTCTCTCTTTTTTAATTATTACACTTCTAAAAGGGAAATGTTTTCTATAGTTTTCCAGTTCATGTAGCACGTTCACCATAGCAAGACAGTCACAAAACCACAAAACAAAATATTCCAGAAATAGCAAAAGCAGAAAATACAAGAAACTCAATGTCTAATGCACAATCAATTCCCAGTATTTTATAGTCTTTCTTGTGTTCACCCACAGGACCACTGTAAGGGCAAGTAACTTGTTACCAATTGCTTGAAGGATGGGCAACATGCAGAAGACTGCCATGTGTTCCCAGAACATCTGAAATGAATATCTGAATCTTTGAAGGCTGCTTACCCCTGAATTAATTAATTCACATATGTGTTTATGTGTGTGTGCACGCACACACGGACGCACACACTTGTAGTTGGTGAATCACACTGATGGCTCAAATTAAAGCCATCTTAGCCTTAATTATGGTACTTGCAGGTTTTCAGGGGAGGAATTCAGCCACTCCCCTTTCATCAAATACATCTGCCTGTCTTCATCCCTTTTCTTTCTTGACATCCATCAAACTCTCACTTCAGATTCTTGGCTAAAGTAATTCCATGGGTGTGAACTAATCTGCATAGTTTCAAACAGTTTAGGGAAAGGGACTGCATGCAAAGCTCTGTTAGCTAGCATAACATGGATCACTTACAGAAGGCACAGTCTAGAAAAGGACTGCATTCTGGGGAGGTAAGAACTGTAGGTGACACACAATCCAGTCTGCATAACAGAACATGTCAGATGGAGTCTTTTTTAAGTGTAGATCCAAAAATAATGTATATGGATTTTCATGGCTACATATAAAAAAATAGGTGAGATACCATGCCCCCCTCCATCAGTCTGCTTGAGACCTTTTAGTTTCTCTCTCAGAATGGCTAGTCACATTACCTACGTTCTGTTTACCTTCCCTTCCAATCTTGCTTCCCTTTTGTGTCAAGCAGACTGAAAGCCATTATGCAAACCAACATCTGCATTTTCACAGAAAAGCAATGCATAAATCTTATAAGCAATTTTAGAAACATTTTAATGTAAGGACACAGATTATTTTATTATTTATATAGGAAAATCACCTCAGTTCTGCATACCTCCTGGTTTTCTTGGCTGTTCCTGTAGTCCCGCCATCCTGCTGCTTGCGTTTTGCTCCTCTTCCTTTCCCGCTGCTTCCTGCTACGATACCCCCTTGGAGAGGGAAACAGCACAAATTAGTATGTCATCGTAAGTTTTGCAATTCAAGGGGTGGCAACTTCAAATCCCCAGATAAGTTTGAATCTCATCAAAACCAGGTATCTTTCAAATTGAAAGCAGGAAAGTACAGGTTTCACTTACTTCTTCTGGCCTTGTATGAATTTAAGTGTCAAGAATGGCATTCGGAATCAAAAGGCTCCTAACTAAATACATTAAATGTGACAAGTCATATATTAAATTTGAAAGGAAGTCATTAATGTCCTTTCTTTCATGGAGATTTGAAACATATAGAGACAAACAGGATTTGATTCGATAGGGAAGAAAGAATCAATAAGCAGCACTCATTTCAACACTGTGCAACACCAGTGCTCAAATTAGGACAGAAAAGTTAAGGGCCCGTCACAAGCTTGATACCTTCTGATTTTAGACAAACATCACCCATAGCCTTCTAAAAAGTCACAGAGAGGGTCATGACAGAAGGTAAATGGGCCTGGCCCCCTCTGGTTCCTCCTATAATTTGAGCACTCAACAAAATGATTAAGATGCACTTGAACACACAATTTCTGCCTCACAATTATCTATCACTCAAAGACAACAGAGTAGGCAAACCAAAGCGCAAGATGTTTCTCTGCAGTGCTGGCAAATGATTAATGTCTGTGCTGGGAGCATCTTGATGGTTTATGTCCATCTGAGTTTACTCTACTCCACCTCTTCTGTTTTGCTTATTCGCCTATCTTACAAATGTGTATACACCCATGGCATAAGAACAGAAGGAAACAATGGCCTTGATGGATAGAATCTGGGTCAAGACTGAGAATTCTGGACGATGGGGCTCTGATCAGTTAGATCTGAGAGGCTATAACCGTCAGTAAGTGGGATAAGAGGATGCTGAAAGATGGCAAACATTTACCCAAGGAATCATATTAAAATTGAAGTGGTGACTGCCTGCTCCTTAACAAATCTTACAAGTATTTGTACATATAATCTTGCCATTCATTTTCCTCCATATGATATCAAACCTGTGTGCACCCACTACAAGCATGACTCAAGAAGTACACATAGGCACGATACTTCAGCAATTGAAGCACCTCCAAACAGTTGTAACCATGTATTTGATATCATTGCAGGAAGGATATTTAGTGTTGTTCTGGGTTTTTCGGGCTCTTTGGCCGTGTTCTGAAGGTTGTTCTTCCTGACGTTTCGCCAGTCTCTGTGGCCGGCATGTTCAGAGGACAGCAACCTGTGCTCTGGTGATGCCGGCCATAGAGACTGGCGAAACGTTAGGAAGAACAACCTTCAGAACACGGCCAAAGAGCCCGAAAAACCCAGAACAACACTAAATATCCTTCCTGCAATGATATCAAATACATGGTTACTTTAGTGTTGCCACATGTATGAGCTACACCCATTAACACAACATTTATACTTATAGTTACGTTTCTTAAGAGTTTAAAGAAGCAATGTTTAAAAATTTGCAGGCAGATGCTTGGAAAAGATACATTTTTGCACTTCAAACTCCAGAATCCTCATCTGACAAAGCCATAACCATACAGGATAAAAATGCAGTTCAACCTTCTGGGTTGATTCATAAACTGTAGTGTACAGATTATTTATGTGCCATGAAAAATTCAAAACATAGCAAAAAATTGATGAATATGCAGATCCTTTGAGCAAGAACTATGTAAATGTCTACACATACTGGGAATGCCATATTTTATTCTTGCAGCAACTATTAAAAAGGGTAGAAACCGCTTTGTGTATTTAGCACAGATTGCAAGCTAAACTAAATGAGACAAGACATGCAAGAAAAGAACTTTTTGGTTCAAAAAACATGAGAGACTGTTATGGAAATAACACAGCACTACTGTTTAGAGCTGTAGTGTCAGAAGTCAAAATATCCATATTAGTGTATCCTCCAGGAGTAGAGAAGTAAAAACAAATCTTAAAAGTACTAAAAATGTAACTTTTCCAAGCTTCGGTTTTATGTTTTATTTATTTGCAGAAGACAATTCCAATTCACTTTAGGTAACATACGTTAGAGACCAAGAAGATTCTAGATTTATTTTGAAAGGAGGAAGGTGAATAGATCACTAGCATCTATTACATATTTCTTTCCTACACAAGCTCCTTGCTTCTGATCAAGCCAGAGTTTGCCAGACTGCAGACAATCACCTCCAAACAGCAGGAAAAGGTAACCAGAACTGCAGATGTAGAAGCTCCAAAATCAGTGGCTCTCTTGCAGAGTAAGGAAATGTCACTTATGAGGTGAATATTATATTCTGCACAACCATGTATCAATCTGAACTCTATTGTTTGTTCTAAACTTTAAGATTTGGGAGTCAATCAAAAAATGGCAATATCACCATTTGTGCCTCTGGAGTGTGACTTCACAATTAGAGTTTGGGGCAACCAATTCTGTCCGAATTGCAGGGTAAGATTCTCTTGAAAAGGGACTCTCTCTGTGACTAACGGATAAGGATGGATATATAGATCACTTCTGCCATTAGAATTATTAGAATGGATCACCAAACTGGTATCTCAAAGTAGCATGTTTAGCCTCAAAACAATCCTGAGACTGCCACCAGATGAGTTTCATATCTGAATAAGCATTTCAACCAGTCTTCAAGTGCAAGATCAACAAACTAGGAAAGGAGTTTTTGAAATTCATGTACTACAGAGGTCTGGAGGTATTCCCTCAGACAGACTTCTTCAGGCTTTAATACAATAATTTTCAAGTTCTTGAGCTAACAGATTCTGATATGGATAGGCCATTTTTGTCCTGTGCCAGAAAACAGAGAAAATGAGTGGCCAGGGTTAAACTCTCTGGGAGTTGCAAGGGATTATGAGTGTAGCAGTCTCTGCTCATTAGGCTTTGCACAGGAAGCCACTAAAAAAAAACCCCTACCAGATCCATAATCCCTTGTCGCTCCTACAAAGTTTAGCCCCAACCACCCATTTTCTCCACATGATGAAAATGGATGCTGGAGTCTGAATTTGTTAGATTATGAACTTTAAAACACCTGCCAGGACTTTGTCTACTTCATTAAAGTTCCCCAAAGTCTGGCTGGAGGGATTCCTGCAGATTTCTGGAGGCTGTGATCCACAAATTCAGAAAATTCCAAGCCTACCACAAACCAGCTCTCAATAGATCTCACAGCCCAAATTCAGGCTTTATAGCTTGTGTAGGGTTGTAACTGTGGTGGGAACACAGGGAAGCATATAAAAGTTCTCCCCTCTCTCCAATGTGGGTATCAATCAGGCTTTTCTATGAAGATCTGCAGACCAACTTCCCATGCTTTTATAACTGGAAGCCTGAATAAGGTTAGGTGAGGCATCCTTCAGTCTTGAGATATTATGGTAACATGCTCTGTATGGAGGACTTGGAACAGCATCTAGTGTGGCTGAGAAGGCCAATTCGAGAGTGACCATCCCTTCCACACTGAAGACAAATCCAATCTGTCCCCTGTCCAGCTCCCTGGTTTTGCTGGTTTCGGGACTTCCTTTTGCCTCGGCCTGCTGGATGAGGGTCTCTTCAAATTGGGAGAGGCCATGATGCACCGCCTGCCTCCAGGCTGAATGCTCAGAGGTCAAGGTTTCCCATCTGTTGAGGTCTATTCCTAAGGCCTTCAGATCCTGCTTGCAGATATCCTTGTATCGCAGCTGTGGTCTCCCTCTGGGGCGATTTCCCTGCACTAATTCTCCATACAGGAGATCCTTTGGAATCCAATCATCAGCCATTCTCACGATGTACCCAAGTCAACGTGGACATCACTGTTTCAGTAATGTACAGTATACATGCTAAAAATTCCAGCTCGTTGGAATTACAGAAACACTGCATCAAATGTGGTTGCAAGGGCCTCTTCAGACCTTCAGACTGAATTGCCACCTAGAGCAGTGGTTCCCAACCTTGGGTGACCCAGGTGTTCTTGGGCTACAATTTCCAGAAGTTTTCAGCTGGCAGAAATGAAGTCAACGAACTAGGGTTTCTTGGAGCTGCAGTCTAAGAACACCTGGGTTACCCAAGGTTGGAGACTACTGATCTAGAGAGACGAAGTGGGTCGGACTTCTATGCACTCCCCTGGCCCTACCACAATTATAGACTTACTGCTTTCAAGCAATCATGCCTGAATGTAGCATATGAGATCTTTCTAAAAGAAAGTTTGATGATCTTGCACTAAGGAGTCTTTAGATGAAATTCCTGCCAAAATATTAAGCTTATCTAGTGGCAATCTCTCAGGCTTTCATGCATGTCTGATTTCATCCCACAGTGATTACAGAAGAGCACTGAACAGCGTAAAAGCTAGTTGCTTGAATCCAGAAGTCACTGTTGGCACAAACTTTGTTTTAATTTTAATAATTTTAACAGCCTAATTAGACAGAAAAATAAAAAAAGATGTGATAAGCTAAGCAATTTGTTATATGGCAACTTTCCCATTCATTTTTCATATATGTCAATCACTATGGCTCAGGACACGTAGCAACATTTCCTTACCCTGTTAACTCTATTAGGAATATTACAATATTTCCATTTTTACAGATGAAGAACACAGGCTGAGGAACCAGTGACCTGCCTCAAGACCTCCCAGCAGAAGCCAAGTCAGCACAATCAATTCTACAAGGCAAGGCTTTGAAGTGACCAACAAAAAGCAAAAGACAACAACTAAAAGCTTGCCAATAGTTTATGTTAATATGGAATTAATATTTTATTTACTATTACATCCACAAACCCCGTGTGATGTGCTTCAGATTAATATGTTTTAAGGTTCTAATACAATTTGGCCAAACAAAATCAAACGAAAAAGAAAGGAAAGGCATTTCAAACAATACTTAGGTTTTAAGAAGCTGATAAGTAAATATTCACCTCCCAAAGAGGCTCCACCTGTAAGAATAGAAGTTGGACCATGTAGTTCTCGAATTACAATGAGAGAGAAAAAGAAAACACCAAAGCATGAAATGGAGATAAGACGCCTAAATCCATCCTTGTATGTAAAGGCTAAAACCTACTAACTAGCTGAACTATTTTTCTAACTGCCTCTTTGCAAGGTATCCGTCCCCCCAGCCTTCTATCAAGGCAACTGGCAAAAAGAGGACAAACCTTACCCACCCCATCTTTCGTTTGCTTACATTCCACATTATTTACAAAACAGGGAGTTCCCCTGCCACTGTCACCAGAAGGGTGACACTGGCAGGGGAAGGGACAAAATGGCACTTGGAAAACTCTCAGAAACTGAAACACTTCCCCAATTTAAGATTCGAGGGCTGAGACAGGGAAACTTTGGGCCTACAGCTGTTGTTAGCCCAAAAAATAAATACATTTGGAGGGTGAAAGGTTCTTCACTGTTCTAGGACATTAAGACCAGAATCCTATTGGTGTTTGCATAAGGCTTGTGCAATCTCCTGCAGCTAATTACAGTACTGAGATGTCAGAGCAAACCGCATTTGTACAATCTGGCACACAACCAAGATGCACCCCAGCATCTCATCAAGTAGCTGCAATTAGCTCTGGCAAGCTATGCAGACCTTATATGAACACCAATCGGACTATGGCCAAAATCTGTCTTAAACGCAGTTTGCACTGGCTTCCCAGTCCCAGACAAACATTTAAAAATTAGTCTAAAACCACTTAAATTCGGGACAGCTATAAACAAAAACATAAACATAACCTTTTAAAGATTATGATCACGATTCCACAGCTGCCTCCTCCCTTAAGACTCCATAATAAGTATTCCTTTAGGTTACTTAGAACAGTTTGCTTCATATTATGGAGCTAATCTGGAATTTATAAACCACTAAAAGAATCTGGTAGGTCAGAAGTAGAGAAGGCCTCCCAGGTCCACAATTACAGGATGGTTGAGGCAAGTTTGGAACATTGCAGAACTGACATAACTCAGAGTTTGTAGACTGAGATATGGCAAACTCTAATAATGATTTTTAGCTAGTTTATTTTGTTAATTTTATTAAATTATGGTATGATTTTGGATAAGTATAGATAGCTGTTTTTGTTATAAATACTACTACATTGTAATATTTTGTTTTAATGATAACTACATAGATTGATTTATAGGTACTTTAAGATGTGTGTTACATATTACAATATTTTGATTGGACATAAACAATTTAGTTGGTAAGATGTTTGGTACTAATTTGTACCATATATATTATTCAATTAATATTGTCTTTAGTCCACGGTTCATTCACACATTTATAAGGCCAATCTATTCTTAAAGCACTCCAGGATGACATTCTTAAAGGCAGCGTTCTTGACATATACAAGTACAATGCAGAAATACGCTTAAATACGAGAAGTTCTGATAGTTCACCCCAACATTAAGACAGTCAAGACTGCAGTCCTAAAGACCAGGAGTAAGACTCACTTTAACCCAGTGCACCTTTAAAATAAATATGCATACAACTGCACTGTAGATACAGCAATGTGCTTATTGTTGAACCTGAGATAATAATAATGTAAAATGGGCTAGATATTGTAACTCAGAGAAAAAATAGAAACAAACTTACCATTTAGACTTCCACTAGTAGATACAGTACTGCTTTGTTTCTGGTTATCATATGCAGGGCCAATACTAGAAAGGTCCTAAAAAAGAAGATAGTAGTAAATACACACACCATTTAAAAATTACATACTGTATACTTCCGGTCCATTTTTGAGTTGTTTCCATCTCTTAAACTGCTTAAGATCTGAATTTTTCAAAGCACGGTCGCTCTTTTACAACATAATCCCAAGAATGATAACTCCAGAATTCAATCTCTCTATATTTATGCTTACCTATTCCCAGGTAAGCATGAACAGGCTTGCCATCTTACATGAACCAAAAAAGATACAATGTGACTAAGGGAGGAACCTTCCCATTTGAAACAGGTCCTGGTCCAACATCCCGTTAGTTAACGGCTGGAATCCTATTGCATAACTATGTCATACAACCTATTATAACCACCAACTTCTGGGGATCTCAAGGGATCCCATTCAACCTGGAGAGCCCTTTAGGAGCTGTGAAAGGGGGGGGGGACTCCTTAATGCCCATAGATTGCAACTGCCATTTCTACTCCTGCTGCCAGGATGGACAGCAGTAATTTGGGGGCATTAAAGAGTTCCTTTGCCCTGTTCCATGGCTCGCAAAGGCTTCCTCAGGATGGTCCCTAGGGATCTCTGAAACCTAAGGGGAGGTCTAGGAAATTTTTGATTCCCCTCAAATACCCATGGCTGATGATGTCATCAGAACGGCACAACAAGATTCCAATAATTGTCACTAAAATATTCTGCTCGAAAACTTTTGAGAATAACTTTCTGGAAATATTCTGAAATGACATCATCGTCATCTGTAAATACCATTACTCTGGAACTATGTAACAAAAGAGATGGACTAATCAGAATACACCTTGAAAAAATACAGCATCAGGGAGACACGCAACCGATCCCATTCAATGGCCAATGAAATGCAGTACCTCAAATGGTTCCATTCATTTTCAGTTGCCATTTCAGTTTTCCTTTGTACCATTTCTGCTAGTTTATGAGCCTGCGGGCAAGGACCGTCTAATCTTTTTATATTTGTAAATCATTCAGCCCATCTTCTCCACTTCATGAAATAACTTCACTGAGTATAGCATGAAGCACTGTAATGATGTAACACACCTGGTCTAAGAGCCCAAATTTAGGGTAATCTTCCTCTGGATCTTTGCTTCCTGGGTCCGGATGTTCTTTCACCAAAAACACATCTCTTTCTTTACACTAGGGCAGAGATTTCAAACAAGTTTAAAAGGTAACAATATACAGTATTCAAAGACACTGAAAAAAAATGCACAGCATTTTTGTTTAAGTTTACTTTATTTGAGGACTAAGGCTTTTTCTGGTTGAGATTTTGTATTGCAACAACAGAAGGCTTTACATCAGTATGGAGCAACCAAGTGGAATTTGTCTAAAAAAAGTGTACCACAATTTAACTGAAATATTTTTCACTTCCATGGTGTTGCTGTTCTACAGTTCATCTTGCTTTCAAATGTGGTCATTTTATTCTTTCCCACTTCATGACTTACCATTGTTTTAACAATATTATTCGGCCAAGTCATTTTTCCAGGTCTTTGCCTTGTCGTCATATACTCCCAGTACTTATCAATAAAGGGTATAATGTCCTGTTTAAAAAGAAAAGTAACTATGAAAGATAATTTCACTACCAAAGAAAGTGTTTTAGGTAACTTTGGTAATATATCAATGTGATTATATTCCTAACATTTCAACCATATTTCAAAGATACTAATAGATATACTACACAGAGTGCATTTCAACCACATTTCAAAAAAGATACTAATAGATATACTACACAGAGTGGTGTAATGGATACAATGATAGACTCAAGAGAACTGGATTTGAATCCCAGCTGGGTCATGAAAACTCACCAGTGTGTGTGTGTGGCAAAACTACTCCTTAAACAGGGCATTTATGTTAAATGCTCTATTAGGATTCCTCTAAGTCGGATCCAACTTGACAGTACATAGTGCGCACACACTGCCAGATACAGACATGGGTTAAACTGACTAGCCAGGTCACCATGGAAAGTTACTGTTGACTGCACCTAGGCATTTAGGATACGAGTATAACCCTGGCTCTGGAGGTATTACCTGCTCTGGAGAGGACACTCCTCGATTCAGAGCATGTTACCATAGTCTCTCGAGACTGAAGGATGCCTATGCTATAACCCTGCACTTTCCCATGTAAAAGGTATATTACAGATCAAGGCACAGTTAAGAGTCAGGAGTTTTGAGAATGATAGTCCCATGTTGGGCTGTACGAAGAAAGTGGAAGACCATGCAAACATATTCTCCTTCATTTACAAAAATGGCCTACTGTCAGGAAACTAACAATTTGATAGTGTTCTAAACCTACACTTGAATTTTAGGGCATGGGGTGACCATTTTGTTCTCCTGCTGCAAGGACACAAAAAAACTGTTGCACTACTAAGACAAACAGAATTTGACTGGCATAGTCTTTTGCAGAAAACAATCCATGGCTAAATACAACATGTTGCTCTTTACAAAGCCGTGAGATTCTGCTTCTTTTCCATAATGCTAGTTTGCTGGATAGAAGAGAAGGCACCTCACGGCCTAAGCCTAAGTCACCTACAGTACAGGCTGGCTATGAACGCATGCAGATGCTCATCCAATCCTATCATCCATGATATGCAGTATGAAATAGCACAGGTCAGTACGAAACGATACAAGTCTCACACAGGTTTATGACCTTAGGGAGAATTGAACTAAAATGTAAGAAGCTTGTTTCCATTGTCTGAAATAAGAAATAGGTGCCAGCAATGGTTAAAATAGTGAAAAAGCTTGAGAAATCTGTTTCCCAAATATTCTTCATATTGTTCTAGGGACTGTGCACTATGAGGAGCATCCTCCAAATTTCAGCAGTTCTTGTGAAGGTATTTACATCAGGTTCAGAGTGACAAAAGAAATATACAATGGATGGAGTTGGGCAATGGTGGCCAGCTTTCATTCTCACCCCACCAAGCCAAATTTCTGCAGTGTGAATCCAACCACACCAAACGTCCCATGCCAGAACAGTGCCAACTGATATATACCTTATCTTTTGAGAACATTGTCTTAGGGTGTTCATCTTGTGATCTTGACTGCCAAGTTAAGTTCGCCAGAGCGCTAAGACACATTTCCTTCAGATCTTTAAGGAAACAAACACAGACAAAGAAATGAAAACAGCTTCCTCAACTATACTCTATGGTCAAAGCTAAAGATAATGAAGGTCTAGACAATAATAAAGGAAAAATTGGTTTCCTCTCTGCCCCACCCCCTTATTACTAAGAACTTTGTAAAATAAAAAACTCATATGCACAGGTTAAGGGAATACTCCAAATGACAAATACGTTTATGACTGTGTATTGATACCTCATCTTTATTCACCCCAAATGGTTTTTAAGCATACGCTGCTAGTCATGATAGACAAGGTTTAAAAACCTATCTGCAGGACATAAAACAATGGGCTCAAGTTACAGGAAGCCAGATTTCGACTGAATATCAGGAAAAACTTCCTAACTGTTAGAACAGTAAGACAGTGGAGTGCTCCAACACTGGAGGCATTCAAGAGAAATTTAGACAAGCACCTGGCAGATATCCTTTGATTTATATTCCTGCAATGAGCAGGGGGTTGGACTCAATGGCTTTATAGGCCCTTTCCAACTTCACAATTCTATGAACATGGAGTCATAGGTGTTGGGTTTAGGGAGAGGTCAGCGACCAGGGTTTTTTATTTGATTTTAGCTGGATTTTAGCAGTTAGTTAATTCTTTTTGATCGCTGCTTATTCTGAGGAGTTTTGTGTTGATGTACACACATTTTCACACACACACCCTACACACAATATTAACATTGTGGTTAAATGTGTTGCATGTTTGTACATTATTGATTTTACTGGAAAGCACTCTGATTTTAGAGCACAGTACAAATACATGAGGAGGAAGAGGTAGAAGAAAGTGCTGTTGCATTCACTTCCTGGTCATCAGAGTCCTCTAGGCACCTCACTGGCCACCAGGAGAATGTAACAGTTCACTGGGCAAATTTTTCATCTGACCTAACATGAATGTTTTAAAACACATCTTGTGTCCCCTTAACTATGTGAAGACTTCTAAGATGATATGCAGACACATCCCAGAAATCAAACTCTATCTTATTTTCATTTTCAATTATTAGCTTGACCCCTTCTAGAATGTCTCTGAGGACCACAGTAGACAATATGTACAGCATCGTAAGTACAGTATAGCTGACTGGGGGATTTTCTGCAGCATAACACTACATAAAAAAAATACTAAAAAAAAAAATAACCTTTCCAAACTGTGGCTCTGCCACTGAACCACCATATACTCAGTCCTATTAAAACTTCATTATGAATTATGTGGGTCATACTAGAGCTCAAGAACTGGTTTGCATTCAAATCATCTCCAATTCAATCCCTGGCTTCATCAGATAAAGTTGGAAAAGATTTCTGCCTGAAATCCTTGAGAGTCTCTCTCCTTGTCAAGTCTAGATAAGACTGAGCTAGATGGACTAATAGTCAGATTCTATGTAGAGCAGTTTTCTCTATTCCTAAACTGCCAATGAAACCAGAGGACACATTACTGTCAATCCTGTACAGTCACTGAGCACAACAGGCTACCAGCTAGCTGTCATTCTTGAATTAAAGAGCAGGGACTACCTTACATAATCTCATCCCTTGTCAAAAGAAAACAACAAGACAATTACCCTACATTTCCCCCCTTTACTTACTTGCTTGTTTCCTTAAGAAGTATGTGTTCCCACTATGGTGGCAAATGTTGCAATGGAAGCTGTAGTTGGTCATAAAAGGAAGACAAGATCTGGAAGACAATACACAACTCCTTTTATTGCTTTAGAAAATGCAAGAAATTGCTTGTGCCAGAAAAAAAAGTTCACAGCAATTTTAGGGATTCACAGTTAGCAATCCTAAAAATTAATAAAAATGATTCTGAAGAAAGCTCCTTCAAGACCTTGCCCTAGTCTGGAAGCACTCTTGAGTATAGATTCTGGAGTAAACTTAAAAGTGGTATTATTAACAAACACTACTAGCATGTTACATATCACCTCCACACCACACATTAAAATGTCTCCAATCAAAACACTGCTGAAATTCCGGAGGGAAAAGGGTAAAAGGATTTTTTTACAAACTCTACCTCCCAACCCCTCCCAATTTTAAACAAATAACTGCCCCTTTCCCCACCACCACCACGCAATCCTACAATATCTATGCAGAAGTAAACCCCACTGAGTACAATTAGCACTGATGTTTATAAAGAAATGTTTTTTTTACTAGAGATTATGAGTTCAATGGAAGGTACCCCCCAGATAAGTGTATGTTGCAGTCTTATCCAATCCTAGAGGTGAGAAGTAGGCAAAGTCTGGGAGTCCAGGGATAGTTTTTCAGTACCCTAGATAGAGGTGAAATGTCTGGTATTTTAAAAAGCACAGGCAGTATTTAAAAACCTGAAACACCCAAATCTTCTGCTATAACAAGGTGTGAGGAGGTTGATTCAGCTCTTTCTGGGGGAAAAAATCAAACTGAAAAGGGGCCACATCCAATCCATGGGCTCCTTGACTCTTCCCTCTGCTATATAAGCTTACCTGAGAATAAGCCCCATGTTAAGCCTGAATAGATATGCATAGGATTGCACTGTTAGTCTTCTAATGTATGAACAGACCTGTAATTTCAGCACTAATAAATAAAACAATGCAATTAATGGAATAAGATGTAAATGCTCTACCAAAACTTAACAGGTCTGAATCAGCAAGGATTCCCTTGTTGTTAAGTGCCATCAAGTCATAAACAACATATACTGACCTTCAACAGGGCTTTTCAAGGTGAGATATAATGAATGATTTTACCTGCTCCACACTTCCAGTGAGCTTCCAGTGAGTGAGGATTCCAACCCCGGTCTCCTGACTCCCGATCCATCACTCTTTCCACTACAACACACTGGGTATGAAGGATTCCCTTTGCAACCTCAGAATATGCATCACAACTCTGACAGCCCTTGAAACAGAGCCTGCAGTTTGCTCAAGACATATGAAGGTTTATTAGTACTTTATTTTGCAGGCAAGCCTATGGGCTGCTGTCTTGTAGTGCAATGTGGAGCTCAACTGGGTTTATGTCAGAGTTGGAAGAAAGCCACTCTAATAGGGAAAACTCTCTTTCTCTCAGACCAGGTGAGCGAGAGAGGATGGTTTGCAGATCCCAGCCATGAATTCCCTTCATTAGAATAAGGAGACCCGGAACCTAAGAAAGTGTCCCTGTTGGATCTACTGCTTCCTCCAGAAATGACCATCTCAAATTACCATGACCCACCCACCCACCTTGCAAGCCCCTGAATGCCTAAAAACATGCTCTGGGAGGATGGGAAATCCAATGGAGCTGATTTTGGCACTGCGGAGAGTTACAGCAGGAGAGGGAAGACAGTCCTGAATCTGTTTCTACTGAATACTGATCTACACAATTATATCTTGGCAACATTTTCAAAAACAACTGTATGTGTTCTGTGACATCAAGTTGGAACTGACTTATAGCAACTCTAATAGAGCTTTCTTTGAATTGTGATACTGGAGAAGACTCTCAAGAGTCCCCTGGACTGCAAAGAGAACAAACCTATCCATTCTGAAGGAAATCAACCCTGAG